AATAAATAAATAAATAAATATTTTTAAAAGAGTAGATTCTACTCAGTAAAACAACTATTTATGTAACATGTATATTATATTAGCCATTACAAATAATATAGAAATAGTCTAGGTATACGGGAGAATGTGGGCGGGGTATTAGCAAATATGCACTATTACATCAATATTACTTGAGCATCTTGCATGTTGGTGACCATGGGCACCCTGGAGCTCATCCCTATGGATGTCAACGACAACTGTATGCCCATCCCCTGCGGATGTCAAGGACAACTGTGTATCCATCCCCCATGGATGTCAAGGGTAATCGTATTCACAGCCAGTCATTTAAATTCTGTCTGCCCCAATGATGTGCCAGCTCATTTTAGTTTCCAAACCAAGCAGAATTCTTCAGAGGCTGATCTGTGAATCACGAAAGGAGCTAATTTAAAATACAGTGTGGCTGCCTTCACCTAGAACGTAAAAGAACCATATGGGGTTTTTGATTTGTACCTGTATTACTTCAGCCACTGGAGTCTCAATGATATTTAAAGAATTGGCTGCCATCTCTCAAAACTGGGTGTTAAATTTCTAGTGACTGGAACGTGTTGTCAGGAAGGCTGCGCCAAGCAGGAGTTCACACCAGATGAAGCCCACCGCACATGATACAGAAAGCACGCTGTTTCTCATGTTGGGGACCTTCCTCTCTCACTGCCTTTAGAGGAAATCCTCACTCTTTACTTGCTCTAAACTCTTCTTAAACTTATTTCAAGAAGTTAGCGTGTCTGTATAGCAAAGTACGTTACTGTTTCTTTGCATTTCTCCTAAATGGACCCTTCCTGCTTCCAAGGGCTGGTGCTCGTTCGTGATGGTCCTTCTCCACTACGCATTCAGTCATGGAAGTGTTCTAGTTCAGAAAGGGAGGATGCCCCAGGCTTCGTGTTTGCCAGAAGGTACTGCAGCAGTGTGAAGGTGGATCTTGGTGTTGCCCCGCCCAGCCTTACTCTGCGCCTCAGACCTGTGACTGCACCTGCCAGCAAGGGTTCTGCGCCTCATGAGCTCCCAAGAGGAGACGCAGCATGTGGTGGGACACTGCGGGCCACCGGAGGAGCTGTCGGCCTCAGTGCTCCTCCCTGCCTGGCTTTACAGAGGAGGAGACTGCATCCCAGGAGAGATTAGCCACGTTTGGGGGCAGGCAAGAGGCCAGAGCCATCCCCTCTATCCTGGACCCCTCGTGTCCAGTTCTCTCTGGTGACCATGAGGGCTGCCTCATGCAGGGCAAGGGGTGGTCATCTGGGCACTGCAGGTGAAGGCCAGGCCCTGGGGCGGAGCAGGCGCCGAGCTCCGCCCATGGTGCACTCAGGCCCTCAGAGACAGTGCAGACCGCTCTGCAGTTTAGGAGTGGTGCTGGCAAGACACTGTTGTTTCCTATTTGGGGCTTTACATCTCCTCCCCTTTTTCTCAGCTCTAAATTTCCTTCAGCTCTTTTCCCTGGCAGTAAATTAGCTTCCAGCAAAATGTGTTATTTGCAGGTTTAAGGCATATGCTTAATGGCTTTCAAAATATTTTTGAAACCAGCTTAGCGTAGGAGAATTTATAGTGCCGAAGGTTACTCACATATTCTTTATAAAATCTCAGGAAAACTGACTAGACTGACATGGCAACATTGAGAGGAAGTAGGGACAAATAGAGGAACAAGATACACTGCTTTGACCCTAGTGTCAGATCTCTGAAAACGTTCGTGAAGTGACCCCACTGGTCTACATTCAGAAAATGAAAGTACGGAGCTGTAACATTATAGGCTGCTTCGAGGGGCCGACCAAAGTTCCCTTGGGTCAGGGATGCATCCTGGCACTCAGCTTCAGACTGCCCTGGGTTCTCCCTCTGGCCCCCAGGCTGCTATACAAAGTGCACAACCTCTGTCCTAGCACCCGCGGAGGAGTCCCCAGGTGTACGCGCAGCTGTGCCTCTCAGGGTAAGTGACAGCAACACCGGGCAATCCAGCTGCCATCGCCAAGTGCATCTGATTATCGCACGCAGGGAGGCCCAGGCCCCGGGCTACCAGTGAGCCTGGGCATTGTCCTCTCTTGTCTGTCCTCTAAGTCCCGCGTCACTGCCACTGGAAGCAGCTGCTGCCTGGACACTACGTGTCCACTGTCTGCCTGTTAGTGGATGCTGCTGCTCCTCTATATTTCAGCGAATACTTGGGAGCAGACAGCACACAGCTCGGCTGGTGTGGAACCAGCCCCGGCGCTGTGGCCTGCAGGAGCCAAGGCGAGGGGGAGGGGAGGAAGCGAGTGCTTGGGTTCACAGCGAGTCCCCAGTGCAGCATAAAGACCGTCTAGGATAAGCCTGGGCTGCACACACAGGGTTTCAAAGTTTCCCAAGCTGGGACTTCTTCCATTTCGTGAAAATGGCATTTCTAGCGCCACGTGTAGGTTCTCCTGGGAACGCAGAAAGCTGCACCTGACATTCACGCCCCTTAGCACTCTGCCTGCTGCTTTGTCCAAGACAGACTGTGCTGAGAACATCACAGTTGAGGCCGGTGGTCATC